GGAAAGGCATCATCTTGTGATCTCTCCAAGAAGCCAAGCAGCTGGCTCCAGTGGAGCTGCTGTGCACAGCATGGGAGAGGTTTGGGCTCTGGCACGTGTCTTGCAGAAACGGCTGCATTGCTTTAAGACCTCGGTCGCCCAATGCAGGGTTTCTTTCCCCTCTCATTGCTGTTTGTGACCCAGGGCAGCCAGACGCCACTTGCTGCAGTTCACCCTTTGTCACTGCTCTTTGTGTTCCCTCAAACTCACCTTTGGGGTGGCTTAAACCCAAAGTGCTGGAGGGAGCTGAAGTGTCTGGAAGGCACGTGCCTGCGTTTGCCATGTTGGTCTTGCACAGGTGAGTGGGCAGATAGCTGGGAGCTGTGACTTCTTGCACCCTGCAGCAGCTGTCACCATGTGCTGTGCCTCCGATCTGAGTGCTGCCCTAGGCCTGGCGGTGGGGCCACCTCTCCTGCAGCACTGGATTGAAAAACATTACTTCTGGAAGGACTTGGGAGGGCATCGTGGGGAAAGCTGTGCCCCAGAATGGAGATTCAGCCTAGCAGCATATGGAGGTAAAACCACTCCAGGTTCCTGTGGCCCCAACGTTTGCAGAGGGTGTTCAGTTCCAGCTGGTGGCAAGACATATGCAATCCTGGGCCCCCGTAGCCTTTCAGCAGGGAGCTGGCAGCCTCTTATTGCGCTGGCTTTTGGCCACGTGATGCTGTCAACTCAGTTGTCTTGAGTCATTTGTCTAAAAACAACTCCCTGCTGCTTAGGGAAGAAAGCACTAGTGGGTGACTGCCAGTCAGGAAATAAGAAATAGCTCACTGTGGAAAGGTCATGGCGTATAGAAACCAGCAGAGAGGTGCTAAGGACTTCCTTCTGTGACACTGCCCCAGGTCTGTAACAGGAGCAGAGTAAGTGTTTCTCCAAGGTAATTCATTCCCTGCCTGCCCCAGTTGTTTCAGTAAGCGATACTTCTGCCATCTTCCTTGTGATCAGCTGATTGGGCTCTGCATTGCACAGGGGAATTACTTTACCAGAAATCCAAGTTACAGTTTCGATTTGATGCTCTTCATTTAACCATTTTTCTTAGAAACTGAGAAAAGTTAAGGCCGTACATCTAGTTTAGGAATGCAATTGCACATTTATCTTTCTTCTCTCCGTGAGGAATGTCAGCCAAACTACGAAGCTTACTCTCGAGAGCCTTGGATAGGCTGTAACGCCCAAAGCCTGCCTTCTGACAGGAACCATGGTGGGATGAGGAGGAGGAAGACACGTACGCAGCACATCAGTAACAAGACCAATCCTTTTCCCTTTCTGTACTGCACCAGTTGCAGTTGGATTTCTTGATCTGCAAAGAATATATCTGGCTCTCAAAGGGAGGCTTTGACTAGAATATGCCTCTTAGGGAGTAAGTTTATGTGGTGTGGGGGTTTGGTGGAGGGCTGTTTGTTTCTTTTTCCTTCAAGGTTGAGGGCGAATGTCGTCTTTTAGCATACCTCTCATGAGGTCTCGGCAAATCATTCCACCTCTTTGCTGCAGAATAGAGATCTGTTTTGTGTGGTTTTTGTTTTGTTTTGTTTGTTGTTGTTTTTCCTTATTATGCAGTGACTTGGAAGGTGCTTGAACACTCCATAACAATCCCAAAACTAAGCCTGAAAAGCAGCCCAGCTCCCTAAACATACTTGTTCTTATGAGTCGTCCTGGAAGGTTTCCTTAAAATATTCCCCAAAGCTTTCTGAGGTTTGCATCTTTCAGTGTGCTCTAAGAAAAATGCTTCTGACAAATGACATTTTTCCCCAGTGTCATTTATTATACAACTAATGATGCCCCTGTGTCTGCAGGACTGTTTCCTGTGATAATCTCTAGGCTTCCACTCCTTTGATTCCTGTGACATAGGTGAGATGAAAGATAACAGACAACAATGTAAGGAAGATTAGGTACAAGGAGGTTGTAAGGAACAACGGGGGTCATGAAGGATAAGATATATTTACTACTGAAGGTGATACTCAGTGTCTAAGTCACAACTAAGACAACTTTTTCCTATGTTAAAGTCAAACCTGGAGTTTTTGTTTGTCCTCCAAGTTGACCGAGTTACAAAAATCCATTTTAACACAGCCTCTTAAAAGGCTGGGTTATGCGTTTTGGAGGCTGTGTTCTGTAGAAAGCAAATCCACGTACTAAGTTTTGCATGCTTCGTGTTACAGTGACCCTGAACCACCAGGAGATGTGATGTGTGAGCTGTCGGTGGTGCAGGACCGGCCGCTCGGGCCTGTTAGGCCCTTGTGTCCCTGGACAAGCTGCAGCAGCACGAAGTGCGGTGTAGGCCAGCACCTCTCTTCACAGGCAGGCTCTGCTGAGCCGTAGGCTGATTTTGGAAAAACTGAGGTAACCAAGGAACAGCTCGGCACTGCAGACAAACAGATCCTACTCAGTCGCTTTATTCACAGACCTGCAGGGAGCTGTAACACAGATGTTGAATCCTTTGCAATTATGAGGCCAGCATGGAAACTCACTGAGTGCATGCTTCTCAGCTCTCTGCGATGAAGTAAACTGCAACTTATACTGTCTAGTCATATTTTTATCTTTCCCTAGCAATATCTTTCTAGAAATCTTCAAGGCTTCTCTAGAAACTAGAAACTTAAGAAGCCAATCCAAAGAATATTTTTGCCCTTGAGCTTATTTTTCCTTCTGTAGCTAAGCAATACACTGATACAGGGATATATTTTGAAATACTCGAAAGAAAAGTTGATTTGCAGTGCTTACTTTTCTGAAATATGGACAGGTTTGTCTTGATAGTGGTGCTGAAGGCCCTAACAGGTTCTGATGTATCTAATCTAATGTATAGGCTGTTGCATCCTGAGGTTAATATATAAATCATACGCAGTGCTTATTTTGTTCAAAAAAAAAAAAAAAAAAAGAGCAAAAAGGTGATGCTGCTTTATTTTCCCCATCCCACCCCTCAGACCAAAAAAAAAAAAATGTGTTTTAGGAATGTTTTCAGTGAAACTGGTATTAATTTCAGTGGAGGCTGACAGCAATTTCTAACTACTTAGAAGCAGCAAAGAAGAAAGCCGAAACCCAAGAGCTGAGCTTGTAACTGAAACTGCAGGCCAGGGATTGTGGGATGCAATGGTAATGTCTTGTTCTGTGTTTATTTCCTGAACTGGAGTTCAAAAGCTGAAATCGATTTCTTGCTGGTGTAAAGCTGCTTGTTACATTGCCAGCCTAGCAAATACTTACAGGTCTGTTCTAGAAAGATTAAATATTAACTTATTCAGAGGAAGGCTTCGCTTCGTCATGTAAAGATCCTGTGAAACTGTTGACTTCTGTGTGCTAAGTGACTTTGGACAAGCACTAGGATTGCCCTTTGTTTAATCTGTCTGAGAGTGGGAATAACAGCAGTGCAAGGAATAAAAGCAGAATCCCAAAATTTACATGAACTTGAGGTAAAACAGAAGTAGCTTTCTTTTATTTTTATTTCAGTTAAAGATGATAAGACAGAATGAAAATCACAAGTGTTTCAGTGTTCACTTTCACCTCAGCCTGCCGGAGCTTGCCAAATTAAAATTGTTCTGCCCAGTCTCATAACTGCTTTCTGGTCCGGGAGACCTGGGTAAAAATAAGGAAATTATCTTTCTGCTTCTGTAAGGCTTTACTTCATTTCTATGAAGTTTAGTGTGGTTTTGTTTGTTTAAGTCTCACAAGTGATAAGATCTTAAGCTTTTCTCTGGATGTAAAGACTGTTCATTATCTTGAGTCTTTAAGCATCAAATTTGGCTCAGTTTAGTTTTGTACTTTAGACAGAAACGCAGGAGGAAGCTGTGCAAGTATGCACATCCAATATGTGCTAACTAATGAGGAATTTGCTTTTCTTCAGGGTTAACCTCCTTTAGCTTGAAGCTAGAGGCTTCCGTGGACAGACAGACAGGGTGCTGAGCATGTCTTTTAAGGAGAGAGGGAAAAAAATCAAAATCTGAACAAAAAAGGTTCATCTGTACATCGAGGTATCACCTTGTTACATCTCTGCGTACTATAAAGAGGCACAGTTGTGTAATAGGGTTGCAGACCCCTTTGCTATAGATATCTGCAGCTAAGTGAGGCACATGCTGCCTCTGTGACCAAAGTAGCTCTGTGGAACGAAGCCTGTAACGCACACTGAAGCCCTGCGGATTTAGCTCTCTAATGTGCATCAGGGAAAAGCTCCTTTGAGCCGGCGTGCAGACTGGTGACTGGACAAACATCAGCGCTGAGGGAGAGGAGATGATGTGGAGTGAGGTGAATGGCAGTAGGCAGGATGTGCTCTGTTCACCTTTTGCTCGTGTTGATGGCCAGGAACTTAAATTTGCTGTGTCAGATGAAGAGTCAGGAAAAGATCCTTTCCTCATTGGATTTCAGGAATTTAGGGAAGAGACCCAGCAAGGAGAGTGGTATGAACAAAGTGACCCAGTAAGTACAGCTGCTCTCTGATCAGTGTCTTGCCTAACTGATGAATGAACTCCAAAGGTTTCAGAGAAGCCTGAGAGCAAGAGGATGTACCAGTCAGAGAGCATGTAGGATAGATTTGAGCAAACAATTTGGTGTTGGGATAAAAAGAGATGAAGGTGCAGAATAGGAGGAATTTGGGAGATTTCAACTGTCTTAAGAATTTGGGTTGGGGAGGGAAGTACAACAGGTTGGCCTGGATGTTGATGTGCTCCAGAAAATGTGCTGGGTGCGTATCTGAAGGGCAAGTATAAATTATGATCTAACTAATGGCTGTGGAAAGGAGTGTGCTCCTCTGCTGGTTAGAGCAGGGAACTGGATCTCTTCAGCTCTTCCACTGACTCGCCAAGCCTCAGGGGCTGGCAGAAGGAGTACTAAGTCCTGGTTTACCCAGAGTTGGGCAGGGAGGCCTTATTAACACCTGATACATGATTTGGAACAAGTCGGCTATCTTGGGTATCTTACTTTTATCCAAATTTTTGATTCAATGCAGATTTACTTACCATATATCTTTTTTTTTTCTCTTCCAGTTACTATATCTTCAACTGCAGAAAAAGGTAACATTTAATTATTATTTTTTAATGTAAATAGTTTTGTTGCACACAAGTCTTAAGGGATATAGAATTGAAATGTATTTCTTTGTATGTAACCTCTCTGTAGTAAGTAGATCATTGCTAAGAAACAAGTTAAATATTGTGATGTTGGGTATGCTGAGCTCACAGTACCACTTGGGATGAAGACAAGACCTGTGAGGAAAGTAACTTTGATTTAGGTTTGCAAATATTTTTAAATGGGTACCTTCTGAGAACAGAAGAGGGAGAAGAGGGAAGGAACTGCAGCAGTCCATTTTCTGTTTCATCCTGAAGGAATGATGAATATTCATCTTACCAGCCTCCTTGCAACCTCTGACCAGTAAGACTTTTGGAAGAGGAGGGATTGCTGTACTGTTTGCTGTTTTTCCAAATAGCTTACCAGGTTCCTCAGAGCACCATTCCTCAGGACTGGTCAGAACTGTGCAAAAAACACAGCCATTTCAAAGGTGACTGCACATTATAATTTTAAATTTCCAGGTTAAGTGGTTAAGGCCTTGTTTTTACAAACTTTCCTTAAGCCTTATTATTGTCCTTGGCAAATATACATCACAGGGGGTAGTATTTATAGAGATTCAAACTCACCAAAGAAATTCCAGCATGCTTGCTGCTTTTAATTGTGAACAAAAACTAGGCTAGAGGATCATTCAATTCCAGAAGTTCAAAGTGCTGTTGTTTTTTTTTTAATAAGACTTCAGGCTTTTTTCCCCACAGAATCACTATAGGGATATTTGGAAGTCCATTTCAGCTTAAGAGAGAACGTGAGAGTGATTATCATGATTTTATGCTACGCATAGGTTGGCAGTTCCATCATCCACTGAAGGCTGTCTTCAGAGTGTGAGACCTCTGGTAAGAGGCTCTCATCTCTTAAATATTTTTGCAAAAGAGAACTTGGAGGTAACCCATCAGTTTACTTCCTGGTGGAGAGCATTCAGAAGAAAACTGTAAAAAGGAGGAAACTTGATGGAGTCTGTCCTCTTTCATCTTTTAAAGAAGAGGTGAAAGAGTGGGAAAACCTCCAAAGTAAACCGTAAGCTGTTCAAGACGGAAGCTGTGTCTCAGCGTGGGTTTTTACATTGCAATGCACAGCTGGGCTTCATCAAGACTTAAAATTCTGCAGGTTGCTGCTGTGCTTTTACTGTCTGGTTTTACTAGAAGTAAAGTTTTACTTTCTAGTTTCTTTCAGAAAGGCAAGATTCATGTCTCTGGCAGAGCAGTGATGGTGGTGTAATGTAGCCACATCTCTTGGCTTTAATTCAAATGCAGTTCCTGCCTGATCGAAGCAGGCTCTCTTAAATCTACAGAGAAGACAAATGCTTGATTAATTAATGAGAACAGTATCTTTGAAACCTGTCTGTTAGGCTTTTGAAAGCAGTCGTTTGCACATATTTTGCCCTTTCAGTTCTACGGCATGTCACAGGCACCCTGCATGCATGAATTTCTTTACAGTGGAGGTTGATCTTGAAATGTGAAGTTGTTTCATTTGAAATAAAAGTCCCAAATTTCATAAAGTTCTTGCAGGCTAACTTCCAATAGCCAGGAAATAAAACCAGGAGAGTCAAATGGCCAAAGCACTGATAACATTGCAATGTAAATAATATATATAGTAGCAAATATATTTTGCACCATTTTTCATTGTGCTCTGTTCAAATTCGTTTACTGCAGGTTTTTAATTACACTTTGTAATTCAATTGCTGGTGATTTCTTCATCCCATTAAGGCTACTGTTTCCGTGTCTTTGTATTTTTGTATTCTTGCGTAGATTTTTATCCATTAGGATAGAACAGCCAGCTCTCAATCTCTCCACAATATAATTTAGTTCTATTGAGTATTGTCAGCTCTGTAATCCTACTCTGTCTTTAAAGTGGAGTTAAGAATGATGCAGGAAAAAATTGTGAGGGGTAAATCTGAGGAAGGCTTAGTATACTTCAGGAGGATGCTAAGAGCTTATGACATTGTCCTCCCGAGGGTATAACTTAAGGTCTAATATGCACTGGTGCCTTTAAGGTGAAGTCGTTTCGCTTGGTCACAGCATGGCACCAGGAATCCTGGACGCCCTAGCTTAGCTGGGGCTTCCTCACATCTCTGAAATAACAGATATTGGGGTTTGAGGTATTTGATGGTTTTCTCATGTCTTCAAATTACAAGAAAGTAAGCTGAATAGGAACGAAGCCAGCTTATATTTATATTTGAAACTGATGTGAGATGCTCCAGGGAGTACTCTGCAGAGTGGTACTGCTACTCCAAAGGGATCGGATCCTAGGGCTGAGTTTTATGGCCAGAATTAAGCTGTTTATTGTGCACCTGACTTTTGCCATGCCCTTCCCTCCACAATATCGTTTCCTCTTTCCTCCTATTAACTCCTCTCACCCTTTTCTCCCCCAAAGCTTTGATTTATGCAGCTGTTTCCACTAAGATTTTAGGTCTTTCTCCTCTTTGCAGATTTCTCACTTTTTAATTTCTTAACCATGTTATGTTTGAATGCTGTGTAGTATGTTTTTAATAGAACACAGTTTCTAATTATGTAGCGCCTAGCACAGTGAAGCATAGGTTCTTTCCTATCAGAAATAGGATTCAAGCAACAATTTTAGGATGGTTTTAGAAAAAGGCTTTGCTTCTTGCTTCCACAGCTGAAAATTTGCCAGATCTATAGTTGGAGGAGTCAGAGGCAAAGAGAAAAAGCAGAATTCTCTGAAGGAAGCTCAAGTTTAATTTGTTTGTGTGTGTGTGTGTTTTTGTTTTGTTTTGTTTTTTGTTTTTTTTTTACTGTAATGAACAGTAAAAATCCTGAAAGATGAAAAATTAAGACTATGCCTGCTGTGACTGTGTACCTGTTGTTTGTTGGTTTGTTTTTTTGTTTTGTTTGGTTGGTTTGTTTTTTTGAGCTGCTGAAAGTTCCTGAAGTGTAGGGTCTGTTCTGCAATCCATGAAGAGTGTAATATGGCTTCTTAAAGGACTCTGTATTTGCACAGGACAGTAGGTCAAGTTTCCTTCTTGCAACTAAAGAAATAAGATAACGTAAATACTTGGCATGACATTTTGTAAGGTTTGCTGATCTGGCATGACCAACCAATTTCCTCTTTACAAATGGTAAAAGAAACCATTAGAGGAAGCAAGATTGGAAGAAGCTTCCAGGATCAGTAAGTCACAAGCCTTTGGTGTTTAAGGCAACCATATCACACACATCCATTCATAAATTGATGGGGCTCCATACTACTTGTTATTGCCACAGTGGCTGTAATAGCAGGACTCTTCCTCTGAAGATTTGAAATAAGATTTGCAAGCAATTTTAACTCACTCCAAGATGAGACCTTGCTGTTTAGTCCTCTCTCTTCCTGGTTTGGGGTTTTTACTCCTATTGAAAACCAGCACATTCCACAATGGCACAGTATTATGCTGTTTCTATTAGAAGTACATCTCTTGATGCATACTAAAAAATTAAATTGATCTCTGTAGGCCAGTTATCACATAATCTAGAGTAGAACTGGAGCATCTTTATCTAAACAGGTTAGTCACTTGCATGCCTTAGGTGAAACTGTATTCACTTCTGGTTTTGTTTTTTTTTTTTCCTTCAAAATCTGCTGTAGAATCTTACATAAAAATATATTATTTCCTTGATGAATAGCAACTATGACATTTAGTGATTTGTTGGTGGTGTTACGGAGGCTTTTTGTGTTCTTTTTTTTTTTTTTTTTTTTTCAAGTGGGCACTGCCAGAGTGCTAAATTTACCCAGGCAAAAAGGTTTAATATAACTTATCAGCTGATTCATAATGTCATAGTCTAGCCCTCATCAAAATCAGGGGTTTTATCTCTTGCTCTCTTCAGCTATATTCACCAAATTTTTATTTGTATTTTATTGCAGTTGTGTACCTTGTGGTTTTTCATCTGTCATTTGTCATGTTTGTATGGTCGTATTGGAAGACAATTTTCACATCTCCTGCATCCCCTTCCAATGAGGTAAATCTGACGTTAGAAAAATGTCAATGCTTTTTTATAAATAGATGAACTGTTTTCAGTGATGAAACTTGTTTGCAGTAATGCATGATTCACCTTTCCCTTCTCATTATCTAAAATAGAACAGCTTGACAGCATATCATGAATGCAAATCATCAGATTACTCCTAAATACTGCATGCTTTGTATAATGGCATTTCCTTATATTAAATGTGTTTAATTCATCTCAAGCTTGACAGTCACATGTATGTGCAAAAGTAGTAAGACAAAAAAGCAATTTGGGGATACAGTGCTTTGCTAGTGTTTGACTTCTGACATTTTTAAAATCAATAACTCCAGTGGCTGCATTTTTGTATTGTTTAGATAGTTTTGACCTTCAAGTAGGAAAGCGTAAGCCTGAAATAAAATTACCTTGTTTTCTGCTTTCCCTCGGGGATGTATATGTAGAGATGAGATGGTGGCACCAAATTTAAAATACTTTCCTTGGTTTTAAAAAGCTTTTAAACTGGATAAACTGTTTGAGACTTTGATTGTTCTGTGGAGGTTGCATTTTTATTCTATTTTTAGCAAGATTGACTTTCATTGCTCATGTCAGTCTTAAATATTTTTGTAAAGAGTTAAAACTGTACTTCTATGGAAAAGCAAACAATGCTCTGTAGTACATAATTATGTCTTAGATATTCTGCAGCTTTCTAAGATACATTTATAAAGTGAAAAAAGCTAAAGACTATTCTGCTTTTTAGTTAAGTGAAAAGAGTAGTACTGAATAGTTAAGCTTACAAATGCAAAGGAGAAAAAATTCAAGGACATTTCATCCTGAAACGTCTTCAGGGTGGTATGATTTGGCTTTATGTGGGAATGTTTCTGCAGGCAAATGATAATGGTAAGCAGGTTAGCTGGTTACGATGTGGTTGCAACTGTAGTTTTTGTAAAGGTGTGTGAATTTGGGCTGCTCTGAGAGCAGTCTGATAACTTTTACTGTCTGCTTGGGTTCTTCAGTAGTAGACTGACAGTACTGACAGTACCTGTAGTTGCAGTAATGTTTCTAGCAAGCTTTTGCTATTCGTTGACTGAAAGGGATGGTTTCAGCATATGGCATGTAAGGAATGTTTCCTATGTTAACGTGGTATAGATCAGATCAATACAATTCTTTCATAGGAAAAAAGCAACGCAGGGAACACTTTTTTTTTCTCTCTCTCTGGGAAAGTCCTTCTGTTCATGTATCAGTGAGTAATTTTTGCAGGTTTTTATATTTAAAAACAGACTTCAGAATCTCCTCATTGTATGAAAGTGTAAATGTATATATTTTTAGTCATTGAAGTTTGCCATTCTTGCAAAACAAATAGCATCCTGTGATCACACTATTGAACTAAAAAAAGATTCCGCAGCTGCTGTTGTTCTAGTGTAATCCCTGTACATTTGTCATAAGAAGAACAGTGAACATTATTAGATCCAGAAAGAGGAAGGAAACAAAGGGACTCTTTCTTGGTTTTGGTAAGAACCAGTGGAACCTCATTGGAAATTCTGTTAGCTATGTGGGTAATAGACAACTTTTGATGTCTTTCAACATACATATCCTGCCATTGTCTAGCAAATCTGTGGTTTCATGTCCTTTTTAATTTCTGAAAATTAGACAGAAAATATTTACTTCAGAAAAAACAAAATCCTTTTTTTTTTTTTTATTAGAGTTTATTTTAATGTTACTTGGAAAAAAAAAATCAAAAAAAAATTAATTTTGTGTTTTAGTTCCCTTCCTGTACATCAATGACTTGCCACAGAAGTGTCATCTAGAAGTAGCGTTTTGTGTTTAATAATGCGACCTCTGCTTGATTGCAGGTCAATGGAGACAGCCATTTGCTACCCTAGCAGGCTCAAAAAAGGCAATAGGGATAAGGCATGATGCTTCAGATCTATCTGAAGTTTTTGATGTGAGCATTTAAGCTTAAGTCTGCTGCCTCCCTGGGCCAGGGTCAGGACGTTGCCAGGAAGCTCCCCAACCTGGTACGCCCCTCAGACTATTATCCTCTTGTGATAGTCCAGGCAGGTAGTGATGACATTGATGACAGAAGCCTGAAGGCTATCAAAAGAGACTTTAGGGGGCTGGGACGGTTAGTGGACGGAGCGGGAGTGCAGGTAGTATTTCGTCCATCCCTACGTTGACAGGAGGGGTACGGAGAGGACAAGGAAAGCCCACCTGGTAAACACGTGGCTCCGGGGCTGGTGCCTACGCAGAAATCTTGGGTTTTTCGACCATGGGGCAGTTTACTCAGCACCTGGTCTGATGGCCGTAGACGGGTCCCTATCCTTAGGGAAAAAGGATCCTGGGCCAGGAGCTGGCGGGGCTCATTGATAGGGCTTTAAACTAGGTAAGAAGGGGGATGGGCTGAAGCAAGGACTGTTGGGCTGTCCAGGGGGAGCAATGGCAAGGCCAGGATATGTAAAGGCCCAGCTGAAGTGCATCTACACCAATGCACGCAGCATGGGTAACAAACAGGAGGAGCTGGAAGCCATCGTGCAGCGGGCAGGCTACGACTTGGTTGCCATCACAGAGACGTGGTGGGACCAGTCTCATGACTGGAGTGCTGCGATGCCTGGCTATAGGCTCTTCAGAAGGGACAGGCAGCACAGAAGGGGTGGCGGTGTGCTCTCTATATTAGAGAGTCTTTCGATTTGTAGAACTCGAGGCTAGGAATGACAAGATCGAGTCCCTTTGGGTTAGGATCGGCAGGGACAACAAGGCTAATGTCCTGGTCGGGGTCTGCTATAGACCGCCGAACCAGGATGAGGAGACGGATGAGGAGTCTACAGGCAGCTGACAGAAGTTGCGAATTCGTCGGCGCTTGTACTCGTGGGGGACTTCAACTTCCCTGACATATCCTGGAAGCACAACACAGCCCAGAGGAAGCAGTCTAGGAGGTTTCTGGAGAGTGGAGATAGCTTCCTGACGCAGCTGATTAGTGAACCTACCAGGGTGGTGCCCTGCTAGACCTTCTCTTCACAAACAGAGAGGACTGGTGGAGGATGTGATTGTCGGGAACAGTCTCGGGCAGAGTGACCACGAAATGGTGGAGTTCACTATTCTTGGCAGGGCCAGGAAGGGAACCAGTAAAACCACTGTATTGGACTTTCGGAGGGCTGACTTTGGCTGCTCAGGACACTAGTTGGTGGAGTCCCATGGGAGGCGGTTCTGAAGGGCAGAGGGGTCCAGGAAGGCTGGGCGCTCTTTAAGAGGCAAATCCTAATGGCGCAGGAGCGGTCTGTCCCCATGTGCCCAAAGATGAGCCAGCGGGGAAGAAGACCAGCCTGGCTCAACAGAGAATTTGGCTTGAGCTTAGGAGGAAAAAGAGGGTTATAATCTTTGGAAAATTGGGCAGGCCACTAAGGAGGACTATAAGGATGTAGCGAGGCTGTGCAGGGACAAGATTAGGAAGGCCAAAGCTCATCTGGAGCTCAATCTGGCTACTGCTGTTAAAGATAACAAAAAACGCTTTATAAATACATCAACACAAAAAGGAGGACTAGGGAGAATCTCCATCCTTTACTGGATGCGGGGGAAACTTAGTTACAAGAGATGAGGAAAAGGCGGAGGTGCTCAATGCCTTCTTTGCCTCAGTCTTTAGTGGTAAAACCGGTTGCTCTCTGGATACCCAGTACCCAGAACTGGTGGAAGGGGACGGGGAGCAGGATGTGGCCCTCACCATCCACGAAGAACTGGTTGGTGACCTGCTACGGCACTTGGATGTGCACAAATCGATGGGCCGGATGGATCCACCCAAGGGTACTGAGAGAACTGGCAGAGGAGCTGGCCAAGCCCCTATCCATCATTTATCAGCAGTCCTGGCTATCGGGGAGGTCCCAGCTGACTGGCGACTAGCAAATGTGACGCCCATCTAAAAAGGGCCGGAGGGCAGACCCGGGGAACTACAGGCCGGTCAGTTTGACCTCAGTACCAGGGAAGCTCATGGAGCAGATCCTCTTGGGAGTCATCATGCGGCACTTGAAGGGCAAGCAGGCGATCAGGCCCAGCCAGCATGGTTTATGGAAGGCAGGTCCTGCTTGACGAACCTGATCTCCTTCTACGACAAAGTGACGCGCTGGGTGGATGAGGGAAAGGCTGTGATGTGGTCTACCTGACTTCAGCAAGGCTTTTGACACCGTCTCCCACAGCATTCTCCTCAAGAAACTGGCTGCTCTTGGCTTGGACTGGCGCACGCTTCGTTGGGTTAGAAACTGGCTGGATAGCCGGCCCAAAGTTGTGGTAAATGGAGCCAAGTCCAGTTGGAGGCCAGTCACTAGTGGCGTCCCCCAGGGCTCGGTGCTGGGCCGTCCTCTTTAACATCTTCATCAATGATCTGGATGATGGCATTGAGTGCACCCTCAGTAAGTTTGCAGATGACACCAAGCTAGGTGCGTGTGTCGATCTGCTCGAGGGTAGGAAGGCTCTGCAGGAGGATCTGGATAGGCTGCACCGATGGCTGAGGTCAACTGTATGAAGTTCAACAAGGCCAAGTGCCGGGTCCTGCACCTGGGCGCAATAACCCCAAGCAGAACTACAGGCTGGGAGAGGAATGGTTGGAGAGCTGCCAGGCAGAGAAGGACCTGGGAGTGATGGTGGACAGTCGGCTGAATATGAGCCAGCAGTGTGCTCAGGTGGCCAAGAAGGCCAACGGCATCCTGGCTTGTATCAGAAACACTGTGACCAGCAGGGCTAGGGAGGTGATCGTCCCCCTGTACTCGGCTCTGGTGAGGCCGCACCTCGAGTACTGTGTTCAGTTTTGGGCCCCTCGCTACAAGAAGGACATCGAGTTGCTTGAGCGGGTCCAAAGAAGGGCGACGAAGCTGGTGAGGGGCCTGGAGAGCAAGTCCTATGAGGACGGCTGAAGGAGCTGGGCTTGTTCAGCCTAGAGAAGAGGAGGCTCAGGGGTGACCTTATTGCTCTGTATAAGTACATTAAAGGAGGCTGTAGAGAGGGGGGTTGGCCTGTTTCCCATGTGCCTGGTGACAGGACGAGGGGAATGGGCTAAAGTTACGCCAGGGGAGTTTTAGGTTAGATGTTAGGAAGAATTTCTTTACTGAAAGGGTTGTTAGGCACTGGAACGGGCTGCCCAGGGAGGTGGTGGAGTCACCATCCCTGGAAGTCTTCAAAAGACGTTTAGATGTAAGCTTAGGGATATGGTTTAGTGGGTACTGTTAGTGTTAGGTTAGAGGTTGGACTCGATGATCTTGAGGTCTCTTCCAACCTAGAAATTCTGTGATTCTGTGATTCTGTGATCTCCAGTTTTTCATATTTCAGTAAATATCTAGGCTTTTAGCTTAGAGACAAATGTTTAGAGGAAAAAAAAAAAAAAGGTCAAACTCTTGATGATGACTAAAGTATTAAACTTCATTTTCATTCTTTGCATAGATTGATACTAATTTGTGATTATTTAAATGGAAACAATGCTTCATGTTTCATGCTCAATAGTAGGGTAGGGTAGGCTCAATAACTGGAATGCTACCATATGTAACAGGTGACAATTAGATTCTATGGATAGGGTGCAATTTTATTGCATTCTAGATTGGGAAATAACACTGAGAAATTGCAGCCAGGTCTTACTGCTTCCTCCTTTTCTGTAAGTCGAGTGTTTTGCTGTTGCTTGCCAACCAACTCAAATCCAAAGAGGAAAAGTACATGATGAGATGAAAATCCATGTGAACTAGTCATATACATTTCTTGGTAGGAAAATATGTTCATGTTAAGCAACCACTAAGCCAATTTTTGTTCCAGCTGCATACAAAGCATTTTCCCACTCACTGCTATGAATACTTTTGTCTATGTGTGCTCATAAAAAGGGTTCTTGTAGTCCTTGTGGGAAGCTCAGAGTTTAAAAGTGCTTCAGAATAGAAAATACCAGAGGAAATTGTGAGTTCAGCCCTCACTCCACGGGGACTTGTCAGCACACTGGGTTTTGTGGGGCTTAATGGTAAAGCTGTAATTTCAGTGGGATACCAAAGCGTTTTGCAAGTGAGTAGAAGCTCTCCAGGTTATACTGGTAAAGCTTTACCTTTAGTAAGGCTTCTACAGGAGTGGGTCCTCATGCTATATTCAGGTTTGTAACTCTGAAACTGTACAAGCTTTGTTGAAGTTGCTTCCAACATAGGTTAGGGATTTTGAAACCAGTGCTGACTACTCCCAGATAAAATTCCATTTAAACTCTTCCAAATTCTGTGAGGAAGCAATGAAATTCCTGGTCGCCACCCCCACCTCCATACACACCCTCTTCACTATTTTCTCTGGCTTATGCCCCTCTCTAAGTCAGAAAGTGGGTTAAAAGAACTTCAGTCTCCTGTCACATTTACTCTCATCAAGAGTTAAGTCCACCTTCTTAAAACTCCCCTGAGCTTCTGCTTCCTTTGTGTTGAAGGGAAAATGCAGTAGGTAATGAAATGGAGACAAAGATGATTCTCTTTAAATATGCTCAGCTCAGGACCATCATGTAGTTTTGAGGATCTCCTGTAGTATTCAAGGGGAAGGAGAATGTCAGGGGTCGCTCAGAGACAGGATTAAGGTACATAGGGTCTTTTCCTTGGAACTTGAGTAGGACACAAAGTAATAATTGTTCTTATCCCTTCATTCTGTCTTTTTCCTTCCCAGTTCTGCTTGTCAAAAGCTGATAAAGAACAATATGAAAAGGAAGAGAGACCAGAATTCCAGCAGGAGATTTTGAGAAGAGCTGCTAAAGACTTGCCTATCTGTACGACAACAGCATCAAGAGGTGAGATACAAAGATAATACTGTGCTCCTGAAGCTGCTTAGTTTAATTTGGTGAGATTCATTTGATGTTAATGAACAATCTATTAAGCATGTACTGCAAAGGCCATAACCTTGTGGTGTGTTTTTTTTTCCACCATGAGAAATTCAAGTCCTTTGTCTGGGATCTCTATATACAGCCAATGTATGGAATAACTTTTTCAAAAAAAAAAAAAATTCCTCTTCTTTTAAGCAGACAGATGACAACATTTGTCTCTAATTCTGGCTACAAAAAGTAACCACTGAAAATAAATACACCTGGAAATAGATGAAATTAAACTTTACACTTAATTTTACAATCTTTTATGTTCCCCATTAAATTGCTTTTTCTGGGCTATAGCAATTCCATGGGAGCAGAAACTTCATTGTTAAAGCTAGAATTTAAGAAGGATTAACTCTTATTTCACTCCCATCTATAACTCAGTACAGAGCTTTAATAAGTATAAACATTTTTATTCCAAGTTATATATGAATCATCTGTGAAACAGTGTCTTATGCATATGTATATATATTTTTTAAATATACCTGTTTCTCTTTCTTGAAACTAGAAATGTTGTATTTTTCTCCAAAAATATAAAATACTCAGGATACTAGTCACCAAAGTCAACTGTGTCTTTTCAAACAAAGTGTCTATATACCTGGCTTTTTTTGACTACAAACCTCCCTCCGAGGGAATCCCAGTCCTGGAAGGGTCTGGGAAGCTCTTGTCAGATCTTAGCAGTTCTGCTTAGCTGTAGGTGTTGGCTTTCCTCCTCCTTTCAAACTGACTGTACTGGTGTCTTGTTTCCATTGAGAAGAGCTTGAAGGCTTATTTAAAAATAACCAGGAAAGATGAGGAAGAGCTAATTTGCTGAACAGTCTGCTAGATCTCTGTTTGCTGAAGAGGATAGAGACGGCTAATGTTGAAAGCTGGCTTACTGAAAGATTGTAGTTTCACGATGGGATGCTTAGGTACTCTCTCCAGAGGTGAAGGAAAACAGAAGATAGGTCATTGCCAGAGGGTTGAAGGATGGGGAAACTGAGGAGGTAAAGAGTAAATGGAAATGGACTCCATATAGCAGTAATTTACAAGTAATTTAAATACTTTCATATGTTTCTTTAAAAAAAACTCAAACATATATATTGTATGAGTAGGTCTGTGAAAACAGGTATGATTGGAAGGGAAGGAAGCTCTCTAAGATTCAGTTTGTATTAAGAGGGAAAGTCTTCATAAAATGCAATGAGTTATAACAATGTGACCCTTGCCACTTGAATGCAGCCATCAGATACTGTGATCGATGCAGCTAATCAAACCTGACCGCTGCCACCACTGTTCTGCATGTGACATGTAAGTTACTGCACCTGAAATGATGGATTTTCTCTTTCCTTCTATTACAACCACTTCAGTGTGTTAATTTCATCAGTGTGTCAACCCCTGCATGCCAGCAGATTTTACTATTTGTTCCCTTCTCAGACCCTTCATACTCTGATTCCAAGGAAGCAAAGTTCCTCCCATTAGTGCTTTATTATTGTTGCAGCCCCATAGACCAAAATGCCAGAACTTGTTAGGAAACCTGCAATCTGCTTATAGCTTTATAAAGTAGTGCTTATGTAAAAACAAATAAATTGGCACTGAAAGCAAAGAAAGACAAGTCAGAGATACCAGCACGTGGTTATTATAGAGCTCTTCTATTTTATCTTGGTTCTGCAGCTTTGAAACAGCTGTGTGTTACTAATACTGCTTTATCTCAAAGAGTGACAGTGGAATTGCAGGTCTTTGCTGTTCAAAAGACACCACTGTTGCTCCCTAACCTCATTCTGAGTCATCAGAGAAGTCTGTAAGGGTGCTGAATCTGTGAGTGAGACTTTGTATGTCTGAGCTTGAGGAAATCTACTTAACTAAAGAACCTAATGCGCATCTTTTGGCTAAAATCAAATTTATTAGCAAATGAATGTCTGTCTGAAATGTCTAGCATCCGGCTTTATACAAAAACTGGATGAAAATAGCCTATGAACTATTCAATTTACCCACTGTGCTGTTTTTTTCCCCCTCAATTACCATAAACAAACAAGCAAGGAACAGACAAAAAAGTAACAAAAATAGCCCTAAGGTAGACTTAGTTGGAATGAATGACCCGCTGACATACCTTATCCACACAGCTGCGAAGGGTCCTTTGGATTTGTTTTCTTTCATTGCTCACATAAGACTAGCGTGGCTTAATGAACTATAAATAATATGGTTTAAGTATTGCCCAGTAATGCTCCCCATGTTAATTTAAGAGGCTCTCTTCTCAATTCTCTCGTATCTCACTTAGTCCTTTTGGTCAAGGATGGTCACTGTAAAGTGGAGACATAGCATGAATGCAGAAGAATGGTCAAAAGTTTCAGTGAGGACATTACAATTAAAAGAAAAAACACAAACAGTAAAGTAAAATCATATGTCTTAGAAAGCAAATATACATTTTGCTTTAATTTGCTGGAAATAACCTCTACTCTTTTTTCAGATGTGTACTAAAAATGGACCACCACTGTCCGTGGTAAGTTTATTTAAAAAGAAAAAAAAAAAAAGACTGTCATAATGATTAATTGGCTCCTACATCCTGCTTCAGAAAATGAAACTTTGAAGTAAAATTTGATTTTCACAGAATTTCTTGAGGCTTTATTATGTGAAAATAAATTTTGGTCCTAATGTGTGTTGCAACTTAGCATTGTAGGCCCAGCAGCCCAAACCATACATTTTTTCCTTATACAGAGAAACCATGGAGATAAGAAGACCTATGAGAAATGGCAGTTCTTTTAGTTCGGTGGTGTTATCAACAGAAGAGGCGATAACCACTACGTTGTGAAAATCAGTTCTTGATTCTAGATGATACATAACATGCCCTCAGATGGTTACTCTTCTGCAGTTTGTTTTCACTGGTAGTCAGTAAAAATATTATCTGCTGTTGCTGCAAAGATACTGCTATCAGTAGTTGACTTGAAAGTGTTTTTGTAACAAAAGCAACATCCACTGAAATTGATGGAGAGATTTGTATTATCTTCTGCAGTCGCTGTCATTAGTTCCTAGTATGTGAGATGCTTCCTAAAGAGACTGATGGCATCTAATGCTTTGACAGCTCATGCCTTGTCCTGTAGAAATTCTTGGGAGGGAACAAAATTTGTGGGAGGGGCCCAGCTAACAGCCTGAGGAAAGAGGCTTCATTCAAAATAATGGCTTAAAATGCTTCTGAAACACTAGTGCCAAACTCTTTTGGACATACTACTGACATCATACACATTATGCTCTGCAAAAACAGCTGAGTGTACTGTTATTTTATTTATTTGTTTTGGTACATCATAGTAACCTCTTTCTCTTTCCTCTTCTTCTAGGGTGAATAATTGTGTGGGGTTTTCTAACTACAAATTCTTCCTCCTGTTTTTAATGTATTCCTTACTGTACTGTCTGTTTGTTGCTGCTACAGTCTTGCAGTACTTCATAAAGTTCTGGACAGTAAGTTCTAAGGCTTTTTTGTGTTTGTTTGTTTAATCTTGCATGCGTTTATTGAAGGCTGCCTCAGCATGTTGTCACTCACCATTTACTCTGTTCCATAGTTCATTACCATTAACAGCATCAATCGAAGTGACTGAAGCAGGAGAACCTTCCGAATATTAATGAGTTAAATTTATTATACTGCCTAGGATGCGTAATTGGGGGAAGAAGCTCCAATGAGGACACTGTGGTTTCTCTGCTCCATCAAAATTGAATGTCACAGCTCAGATTTCTTTGAGACTATTGGTTATAGATAAGTAGATATAGAAAGACCCGGTTTTATCAAACAATTACGCGTGTGTATGTACGTGTATACATGTGTGTATGTTTAGATGGATACACACACGTATACATCAAAATACCAACAGATATGAAATACAATAACCTTGTATCTTTGTGGTTACTTTGCTATCGGAAAAGGCAGGTGAATCTTTTGGGACCTCACTAGTCTCTGTTTTGGAATCCTTACGTAGGCATGTCTGAACTTCATACTAGTGGGTTTTATTGATCTGATACGGGCAGAATGCTAAGTATGGTGTTAATGATATCTGTGTTCCTTGTACCCATTGTCAGTAGTAATAGATAAAATAATAGATACACATATGTGCACCTTACTAGATTTAGTAGAATATATGTGAAAGGTGAACATCCTTGCATGTCATGTGTCATTGTTCCTATCAGTTTTGTTGCAGTTATGTTCCAGGCTGAAGAGAGCATCTTCTGATGCTTCCTTTCATCTCTGAAACCTCGTACTGTGCCTTCCAGTCTCTTGAGACAGAAGAGCTAGCATCAGAATTCTCTTAATCAGATTCCATTAACTAACATGGGGAAAAAATCCCTGTTAAGCGGAAGGCTTTCCATCACATGTTTATAAATAAATGGCAGCACGTGTCTCTTAGATGCTACTTGCTGTTGCTGTAGCTGTGAAGAGCAGTAATTATCTGTAGCAAAAGAAAGACTCTTTACTGGAGAAAAGTGCCATGTCAGGGTAAGAGAAGCTTGATCATGTATTCAGAACAGCTGTACTTTGAGACAGATGTCACTAGACAGGTAAGATAAATGGTGCAGACACATTTGTTTGTGTTCGTCTGAGCCTATGGGTCTGATCTGCCAAAGTACTGCGTTTCTCTTAGTCTCTCAACTCTATGTAGCAACCCATCACTGCAGAGCAGCGTGTGGGAACTGAGCTTTCAGTATTGTGTGAGATGAAAGTCACAGGTGTATTTATCACCCAGAGCTGTGGCTTAACAGGTGTTGCAAATGAAATGATCCGATTCTGCTGTTCAGTCTTGCTTGACTGTAAATAGTTAAATTTTTAATTTGTGAATGTGTCACTTCCAAACATCTGCCTGGCTGCTTTCCAGTGCTTTGAATGCAATTTCCAATGAAACTGTAGATGCGCTCCTACATATTTACCAGTCAGTGCTTGAGCAAAGAAAATGAATTTGCTTTGTCACCTCACTTCATAGCTGTTACTGCAATGGGAGTCAGTAGGACATCTGACCACAACGAACATTTAATACCAACATTTGCAGCAAGCCTATTCCAAAGCCCATTGGACATGATAAAGAAGTGGACTCTTGAGCAGAGGAAGTGAACTTAAGAGGGATATATTTTTAACGCTTTAGTTGCTTAAAATGTTTTATGCAAGAATGGGCTACTTCTGAACTGTGACAACAGGAAATGTTAGCTGTGTGTTTGCATTTGTTGCTTTCATTTTCCTGTTACTTCCAAGCCGAAATCTGAAGATAGCAGGCTCTTATAATCAGATCTCTGAGTCATTCATACTAAAAGACTCATTCCACAAAGCTAATATTCCTATGATTTTGTAATAGCTTGATTAAAGTGGAATTCCAGAAAGAGTTGGTAGCACCAAAATTATGTGAACTTGCAAAATTTAATACGGCTCCAGTATGTAAGCATTTAGGTGGGTGCTGGTGACTACAGAATAGTCCTGGAAACTTCTCTCTACATCTGTAGATCAGAGTGACCAGCAGATACATCCTGCATGTAGATGGTTTCACTGTTGCTAATGCTGAGCAGTGGTTGCTACAGCATCAGCCAGATAACTATTAGGGCTCTCTAGATTTGTTTGGTTTTTTGTTTGTTTGGTTTTTTTATAGCTTGACTGTCAGAAATGTTACAGTTTCCTTTTCAGAAGGTAGCATTTCTTTTTTGCTTCCTTATAAATGTTTTTAGAGAAAGCGTATATAGCCATTGCCAGGTAGAAGATGAAATACTTGGAATGTAACCTTCAGAAGTTGGAGTAATTTTAAGGGTGTACATGCTCCCTACACAAATTTTAGCAGTCTACTGTTTTGCACTGTTGATGGTATTTGTTTAGAGAAGCAACATGTATGTGCAGATACTTGCAAATATTGTGAGACATGCACGGTCTCTGATGGAAAACAAAATCTGTCACACCTGCAAGACTTTCATAGCATCTTTCATGCTCTGTGCAGAAGTACTGACAAAAGGTTTTAGTACTGTTCATGCCGTGATGGAACAGCCATGCTGGCTCTAAGTGTTTACCACAGGCTTACGCTCTGTTGTGGGAGTTTAAATCTGGTTTGTATGGATCAAGGGAATACGAGTGACACGTTGTTGTTGTTACACTCGTAACTCCTTTTCCTGTACTCATAAAATTCTTATTCTAATACCTAGGAAGTTGTTAAAGATAAGCAGATAAATCCACTGCTTAACAAAATGCATTTGACACAGGCACCAGTCCTGGCTGAACGCCCAGTTCTCGATGCCTTGTTTACACAGTGCAGGGTAGCACTTCCCAGTGTGTTTGCATCCACTCTCGTTTTTGTTGTGCTCCCTCCCACCTTGAAACCTGCACATTTTTCCAGCTGTTTTCAGTGTCTTTCAGTGTCCTCCAAATTATTTTGGCAATCCTGAGCATAGTTGATTTAAGGATATGGTATGTGTTCCGGGACAGATGGTACATACTTCTGAAAAACTCCACTTCTATTTAAAAATTGAAAAAGTAATTCCAGGTCCTTTGTTAGAACTGAGTCCTCCTGTCTGTACACACAGGGGTGTATACTAGATGTTTGAGTTTCTTTAGATTTAAGATGAGTAACAAGCTGAGCTCTGACAGTATTTTTTTTTCTTATTATTTTTTAAGTGACTTCATACTTGCTCAGATGACTCAGTGCTTGTGAAGGAGTTTGTGAAGGACCCTTCAGAATAGTGACTGCCGTCAGGCTATTATGTGTGCTAAGCAGACCAAATTTTATTGTGCAAATCATTTCCCTTTGTAAGCTCTGAAGTTCTCCCACCTACAAGTCACAAGTCTCTTCTGCACTGCTGCTAAATGTACAGATTTTAAATAACTAATGACTGAAGTTTCACTCTTCTCACATGCTGTGGCATGTGGCTTGCTGCTAGAACACAGCTGTGATTAAGTCTGTGATAAGCGCTCACAGGCTGCACCCTTCCATCCAGGGAAGAATTAGCCTTTTTTGAAAGATGCTTGAGTTCTGCAACTGGCATTCAAGAACTTAGAGCCAGTGGCTCCAACTGTGTAGTCGGAAGAGGAGAATGTTCCCAGGGCATCAGGCAAATTAATGATGTATGATTTAAAAAAAAAAAAAAAAAAAATCCTTCTCCAGGTTATAGACCTACTGTTTTAGGGAGATGCAACTGAAAGTAAGTTGTATTTTCTGGCCCAGACCCAAAGACTAAGCTGTCACTGCTCTTCTGAGCTTCAAAATCAACTGGCCTGAGAATTGTCCATGGAGAACTACTTCATTTAAGTAGTTCCAGAAGAGTCCTATAAGTAATACTTGGCGGTGCTTAGTAGTATTTAAGGACCTAGTTGCATATAGTCTCACTCTCGTTACGATTGTGTAGTGAAATGCCTGAACCTGGAAGCTCTGCTTTTTTCTTTTGTTGTTTTTATGTAAATTGCAAACTGTGGCGGTGAAGTATTGGCAAGCACGACTGCTTGGGTGTATGTATGACATCAAGAAGTTAGAAAAATGAATGCGGTAACCACCTTTTCCAGGAAAACCACAATGTGCTCAGAGGTAGGAAGAGGAATCACAGTTTTAACACTAAGCTTAGGAGTAAGAAGAAGTTAAAGTATGTCTTTTGCTAGCCTTCATTTCAGGGGATTGCAAAACACTTTGTTTCCCTCCAGCAGTGAGGAGAGGGACTGTTGCACAAATTGTCTAAGCAAAACTACAGCCAATAAATAAATAAATAAAGGCAGTAGATAAGCTGAATTTAGATGGCAGTTCAAACAGCTGGACTCTATCATTTTCTTACTCTGGCATGATCAGAGGGTAGCCAGCACTTTTGAAAATGCTGTTAATACATGCCAGACTCCAGGGTAAAAGCTTTGGCTCTCCCTAGGCTTTCTGCACAGAGCAGTCTTACTGAAAAGCCATACAGCTTACGTAGGACAGATTTGTGAAGTGCTAGCATCTTGGCTAAGGTGGTTAATAACATTCTTTAAAATTTGGAATTTAAAGTCTAACTTAAACTCAGCCTTCCTGTTTCTTTCTTTTCTGAAGTACTAGGTGAATTTCAGATGTTACACTGAAAATATCTCACGATTTTCAGTATTGAAGGACACTGGGAAGAAAAGACAGTATTGATGTGTTACATCTTGCTGTTGATGGTTTTTGGTTGCTTTGCTTTTTTTTAAACAAAGTCATGGAAGGAATGGTATCTTATTTTTTGTGCTTTTGACTGAACCTACATTTAATGGTAATAGTTATGTTCTGAAGTCAGATTACTTATTTATAAACCATTGCTTTATGGTTTATTCTTATTCTCTGGAGTATTGTTAGCTTTATAGAGCTGTATGAATGGTGTCATCGTAGACAGTGTCACCATAAACCTTACTCGGGGAGGAAGCTAGTAAAGAAGGCACCCAGTGCAGTCACGCTGCTCAGGCTAAAGAAACCACTTGAAAGTGATCCAGCCCCAATCTGAACAGCAGGACTTCAGAAGAAAATCACACGCCTTGGGAGTTAGTCATGTGCTCTTGTGTACTCAGTCCTCCATTCTCTTGGAGAACGGGGGCTCAGGCTGCTGGTGGGCGTTGGAACTTGGCACGTCCAAGGGCACGTGTGCACACCAACCATTTTTCTTAACAAAGCTCGTGCTGTTTTCAAACACTTGGTCTTAACATAATATTAGTGTTTAATAAATTGTCTTTGTTTGCGCAAAGCTTTGCCGCAGGAAAGCTGCAGAGAATTGTCCAAAGGTAAAATTCAATATTGATATAATTACTTAAAAATGTTCCTACTGTAGTTTTCCTAATCCAATCCTTCATAGTAGCTATTTACACCAAACTATGGTGTAAATAGATTGAAAGGGAGAAAATCTGTTATCTGTTTTGCTTACGAATATAGGCAGTGTATGTGGATGTAGATATACTTGTATGCACTTGATCTTAATCGAAATGTCTTCTAGATAGTCTAAAAAAATAAGCCTCGGATAAGTGTGTATGCTGAATGAGCTAATGGAAAAAGTAATGGCAATAATGCTAACTAAACTGCTGAATAAAAATAGCATCTCTGCTTTCATAGTGCTGCTAAAGGTCAGCTGCTTAAAAGTACTGTGATTTTGAGGATATAGAACTAGAATAGTATTGTTACAAATCCTATTGGCCTCTTCAAAGTGCAAGCCTAAATATGGTTGGGGCTGGGGGTGGAATTGACTATCGCCTGTGGGTGGGAGGTTATTTTTTGGTGGTTGGACTGAAACTGTTGTTTTTTACATAGATATTCTGGTGAATAACTTCTGCCTTGTCAGAGACGGCAAATTTGTTCTGCTAGGTACATGCTGGTTGTTTCTTAAACCTTAAACCTGAGAGGTTATCAAAAATTAAAGTGCAGTCCCCGGAAACTGATCTTGTCTAGGAGTTGTTCAGCCTTGGAAACACAATATAACTGAGCCACTTCCCATACACATTCCTTTCACCAGTTCAGAGGTAGTTTCAGTATTACTAAGTTGCCAGGAAAGGGTTTGGAAGTTTTCGTTGGATCTTCTTCTCTTGAAGAATAGCAATTTTGGATGTGTTTTCAGTGTTTCTTTGGCTGTGGCTGCACAGTGAACATTTTTTAGTAAAGGATTTTTTTTTTCACTTGCCCCTTGCTGTGCATTTAAGAAAACTAACCTGGTTATATACAGAACTAGCAGACAAATGAACACATGCACTCACGTAACTAAAGACAGACGGAAGGGGTACCCATCAGCCTTCAAATGCTGTTATATACACACTGATTTAACGTGACATGAAAGGAAGGCCCTGCTTGTGCTGCTTTTCTTCGTGAAAAATGGGGTGAAAGACCTATAGCAGACTGGGGGTAGCAGAAAATGTTTGGTGATAATATTGCATTAACTGCTGAAGAAGTGTTAACATGTTAATCTCTTTCTTTCTTTCTCCCCAGAATGAATTGCCAGATACCCATGCAAAATTCCACGTACTATTCCTTTTCTTTGTGGCAGCCATGTTCTTCATCAGCATACTGTCGCTCTTCAGCTACCACTGCTGGCTAGTTGGCAAAAACAGATCAACAATAGGTCAGTTAATTGGAGTACAGAACTGTTCCTTGTCCAGAAAAACAAGTTGCTGATAACGGGAGGATAAACTTTCACTTTAAGATTCTGTACAGCAAGAAGAATTCTTGGTGAAAGCAAAAAAGGTCAAACCTTGTCTTGTGTTTCCTAGTGTAGTAGATACTCTGCTGGAGATAAGTGTGGAGATTCATGATGAATGTCAAATTTTTGGTTTTATATGTATTTTGAGACTAATGAGGCGTATTTTTGTTGTGGTTTTTATATAGTGTCAAGTAATCTAACAGAATTGCTATTTGCTGGTTACCCTGTTGTTACAATACTTGGAGTAGCTCGGTGGCCCCATCTGAGGTGAGGGTTGTCCTGTGTATGAATATAATAATACATTTTGCTCCAAATCTGAAAGAATATTCTTAAAATCCTGTGAGAGAAGGTGGACCTTGGTATTAGGAAGTGACTTTTAAAAGCACTGCAAGAAAAATGGAAACACTGATGCATGTTTCTGAAGTAATAAAAGAGTACGGATTGCAGGTAATTTCTGTGCCTAAACATTCTAAATGTCATTGATTGGTGTAAGGAAGTTACTTGCATTAGTTAAAGTATCTAAGTTCCTGCTGAAGCATTTTTAAAGTGTTTTTTTGTTTGTTTGGTTTTTTGTTTTTAAGGGCTCTGGTGGTTATTGCCACAACTAAAGTCAAGGTGTTCTACTTCTTGTTGGAAGTTAAATTTCAGTCCCCAAAAGTAAATGAGTTAATGGAAAGAGATTCTACTTCCTGCTTGCTAGAATTTTTCAGTGGACAAAAAGGAGTTTTTTAGTTGCTTGACAGGAGGGCCAAGTCATTTTCCTTCTATGTATCTACAGCTAAGGAACATTCACAGTATCTTTCTTAGCTTTGAAAACAAAATTAGCACATTCCTTGCCCAAAAGTCATTGTTGGTCATTGACTGCACAATCAATATTTACTTTCTGGTTCATGATTGTGAAAAGACAAGGTGTTGGTATGGAGAGAGGAATGAGTCCCCTTGGTTCTTGGCCAAATGTGTAACCTGTCTGACTAGGTAAATAGTAGGTTGGTCAAGTTTAGGTGGTTTGTTGTACCTCATGGTGTCTGTTTCTCTGATGTAATAGATCTCATCTTTCTCTGATACTGTGGTATGCTCTTAGTTTGACTTCAGCCCTGGGCAGAGTGGGAAAAACCTGTCCTGTATGAATTTAGGTACAGTAATGCCCAATGGTAAATTGCTAATTTGTGCAGAAGAGATCGTCTGCTCACAGACATGCACAGGCCAAAGAGAGAGAGCCGTCAGTGAAGTAAGGATGTGTTATCTTCAGCATGCTGATGGTAATTTGCTTTGCCTCAGACCTTAAGTTAAATGTAAAGAGAGAAAGATGATTGATCTTACGAGAACTTTAATGCTTAGATTTTTTAATGCTTTTTTATTACTTCAGGTGACAATCATTTTTCCCCCATAATACATATCAAGATAGTCTTAACTTTCCTGAGACTCTGACAGTAGAGAAGTCTGAGTCTGTTTTTTTGTGTGTTTTTTTTTTTTTTCTGACTGCTTATTGCTCTAAAGTTGCATGTTTTTCTTTTCCAGAAACATTCCGTGCACCCATGTTTCGAAATGGACCTGATAAAAACGGCTTTTCGCTTGGATATGGCAAAAATCTAAGGGAGGTTTTTGGAGATGAAAAGAAGTATTGGCTGCTCCCTATTTTTACCAGGTGTGTGGTCTGACTTGAAATGAATTAGGGAATAAATTGATTGATTAATTTGCATCTTGCTTCCCTTTCTCTGAAAAAAATGAAGCACAATTGGAAAGCTGATTTGGAAATCTTATGTGATTGGCATGAGGAAAATCTGGAGGAGAAAACTAGGAAGACTCTGCACAGGGTTTTCATTTAGCAATGAGAGCCTCCTTTACAAGGGCCTTCTAAATACAGAAGTTTGGAAAGATTTATGAATTGTATTTCAAAAATTCTACGCCTTTTGGTTGGTACTGTTAGTGCCTGGTTACAAAGCAGAAATCAATGGTACAGGGGAGATACAAATGCTCTTTGAATTTGAGCTGCACTGAAACAACATCAGTTTTAAAAACACCCCCTCTTATTCCCAACAAACTTGACAGCTTTTCTTTTGCTGTACATGACATTTTCATTAAAAGCCTTCTGAGGAAGTGAATGTAAATAAGCAGCAGGAGAAAAAAATGTTGATATGTTGGAAAATTGCAGTTTTAAAACTTGATCTGAACTGGTGTTAGGAAGTTGCAGACGAATGTCTGAGAAGCTCAGTAAAGTAAGACCGACCTGTTGCTCACTCCAACCACTCCAGAAAATCAGCAGAACAAAGTAGGTGCCATTTTTCAGCACTGCTTTTGGAGGCTTGTGTATCAGCTTAAAATGTGGGTGAAGCTTTTTGCCAAACTGAGGTCTGGAAAAAAAACAGCAGGGGTAATAACAAGATCTAAAGTTGCCTGAGCCGTTTGCTCAATTGACATGACTTTTCACGTGATTTAAAAAAAAAAAAAAATGGTGGAAGATATATTACAGATGGGTATTTTCCCTGAATGACTGAATTTGCTTCAAAAGAAGGCTTAGCTGATCTCAGTGATGGGAGGAAGAAAAAAGGATGACCACCAGAATATTGTTTGTGCTTCTGGGATTATAAACACTGGATAGTCTGACTACCTGTGCCCAGTGGTTTGGGAGAAGCCAGGGCTACGTTCTAGAGAAACACGATGTTGTTTCTGAAATATGTAGGCAAGTGCTGTGCTCAGCAGCCCACACTGAGCGGTAGGGTGGGAATTGTTTGAGCTCCAAAGCTTAATTAACTGGTTATGGGGTTTAGTGGTAGGAATGCCTTGCTCAAGTTTGGAGTTCAACATTGCACTTAATAATTGATTCCAGCCTGTCAACTGCAAACAGTGATTTGAATCTTTGTTTCTGGTTTAGTTTGGGCGATGGGTGTAATTTTCCAACTCGTTTGGTGATTATGGATCCAGAGCAACTAACTGTCTCAAGCCAAAACGAACCTGCCAAAAGGTAACTATTGCACTTAAGTTGTACTGTGCCATAATTCATCTGTTTAAGAAAAAATGTTTCAAAAAAATTTTTTTTTTAATTTTTAATCTTATTATCAGGTTCAAAGTGAATTTGTAAGCCTTCAGAGAAGGATAGGGTAAATCAAATCTAATAAATGTGATGCTGCTTGATACAGAAGGGCTATTTCTGGTTTTAGACTTCTAAGAGGATGTGGCTCTAAGGAAACAGAACAGTAGTGAAAGTAAAAGACTTTACAGGCTCTTTTAACAAGAAGAAAAAAAGTCCTAGGGAAGAATGAAGTATTTTTTTCCATGGAGCATTATTAAGATATGTTTTTTGAATGAAATAATGGGTAAATACCACTTGCATTTCACTTCCTCCAGCATGCCTAAGCAAGGGATGCTGAGTCACAGTTTGCATGAGAGGCAAATAATGTGGCTATTGCTGGGTTGGAGCAGTGGAGTTCTGCTAGGTTGTTACATTTTAAACCTCCAAATTTGCATGGCTTGTATTTTCAGGAAGCTTGCTTCAGATTCAAGGACACATGAGTACATGAAACTTCTGAGGACGTTTACGTAATTTTGGAAGGCTTCTGTGTTTGGTGAATGGCTGAAGGTTGTTGTCAACAGCAGCCACATGAGTTATCAGGCAGCAAGGGGTGCAAAGGCAAGACTGAGAAGTTGCTTCCAGTACCACGCAAGCTGTGGAATTTACACAAGAGCAATACCCTTGTGCAAACAGCAGAGTAGCCTTTTGCATTAAGATGTTCAGCAGCACACCCTAGCTTTTAGTCATGGAATACAACATCAAGTTGTTCTTCCAGATAGTGCTGGTTAGGTTTTCTTTGTAACTGTGTGGCAGTAACATTGTTGTCAGCATGCCATTTCTTGCCTATCAATCTAGAAACATCTGAAATAAGCAACTCTTGCAATTACAGAATTCCTGTTGACTTTGCTTGCTTTTCAGCTCTGGAGCCAGTCAGCCCTTTCCTCCTCGACCACTCAGTGAATCACAAAATCGATTGCTAGCCAGTGACGGTCAATGGGTAGAAAGTGGCCCTGAAGAGGAAAATGTTAAATCAGGTAGACTGCACCATAACATTTCTGATTACTCTGTCATTTTGTTCATGGTGGGTGGGGTGTTTGGTTTATTGTGTTTGTTTTGTTTTGTGGGTGGTTTTTTTTTGGTTTGGTTTCTTTTGTTCTTTTTTAAGTCTAAGAAGTCCTTAGGAATTGGTTGGAGTCAAATAGAGGAAAACATGTTACATATAATCCAGTCGGCATGTTTATAAGTTGAGGTTAACTTGTGTCTCTGGCTTTCTAGCTCCCTCTTCTGAGACATTTTGGATTGATTATATTTGATTAAGGGGGAGGAAAATATTTATCTGAAATAGGTACAACGTACAACACGATAAGCATGGTTTCTGGTTTGGAGTCTTTGGTACTTGCTGTGCAAATCTGAAAAAACAAAACAAAAAAAAACCAACAAAAAAAAACACACAATTGAGATTTTCTCATATTTTAGGTACAAAAAAGCATCTTATAGTTTCATTGGAAAGCTGATCTCAGCTTATTACTAACCAACCATCTCAATGAGAAACAGGTAAGACTAACATCATTGATTGCTATTTCGTTATACATGTGAGTAAACTAAAATAGACATCTTGAGGTTAAAAGTCACTAGTCATGGAGTGCAGAGAAGTCCTCTGATGTTGGATGAGTCATAGGAAAGTCTGCATAAAGCTCAGAATGGCTCTCCAGAAGACGAGAATGGGAGTAATGCTGTACTGTAGGAAACATTAGTTGGCTAGATCTAAGATGAGTTGGCCTAATCCTGTCATTTACATTGAAGTGTGTAATGCTGCATTTGTTACCTGACCACAGAAAAGAATCTCATCTGTTAAACAGGCAATTTCAATATGGAAGTCTTGATACTCTCTCAAGTAATAGCCCCTTAACTATATTGTTTTTGTATATTGGTTTACCATGCTCTGCTCTTGTACTTCAAGAAAGTGCGTGCACAAGGAATGAAGGTGTCAGTAACTGTAGGTGTCTACATCTGGGCTGCTTTGTGTCACTTGTGACACATCGACACGTTAACAGTGATTTTCTTTTGTGTAAGAGCTTCTGTGCACACTGCACACTTTGCACTAGGGAAATGTAGCAAATGCTGCTGCTTGCCTTGGTGTATTTCCAGTGACTGAATTCAATTTCTCTTTTTTATGTTGACTTCATGCTGCAGTGAGTTTATAAACTCCTATTAAATTTTCATTTCTAGAAGAGGAACAGATCTGATTTGGACAGCTAGCAACCATAGATGCTGAGGGCTAAGTTGTTATCCTCCACCTCCCTTTGTTTCTTTTAAAGAGTTGTAGAAGGGCCTGCATGAGGAAATCTATATTGCCTCTCTGTGACCCATGACACAGAAGTGCAGCAAAAGCTGGAAACAAAGGGAACTTACAAGGAAGTGCCATCTTCTTTGAAGAGAAAACAGTCTTTAAGTTTTTAAAGCTTAAATTTTAGGATCATCTTTTTTCTTTTTTTTTTTTAAATTAAGAAATAGTCTATCTAAAAAGTCTTCACGAGGGATAACTAAAATTAGTTAGTAGTACTTTTCTTGACACTTTGTATAAATGTTCAAATGAGTCCCTTAGTAAGGGATTCCTTTCAGCCTCTAGCTATATAAAATATAATGTGATCTAAACAGTTTATTCAGTCCTTTCCTTTCTATGAAAAGTAGAATAGATACTTTCTGAGATCAGTTCATGCCAGCAGTCTTTGACAGGGTATTATAGAATGTACTTAATCCCTCTGTCCACTGACCTAGAGAGGGAGCATGACTGACAGCTTAGACCAGATTATTAACTGGTAATAGTTTGGTGTGACTTCCCTTTCCATGCTCCCTCTCATCCTAAAGTCAGACAAATGTAATGAAGGAAGATGGTGTGCAGTGTATTCCACTTCCCCAAGCTGCATAGACTTAAAAGTTTTATAATTAAATGAGTCACAGTCACACCCAACACAAAGCGTTTTGGTACGTGTTATCTCAAGGAATACTTCACTCAGTACCACGGGGTTTCGGCTGTTCTGAGTCTAGTTGGATCTGATTGGTTTCTGATCGCCTAGCTTGTTAATTCCAGTCCCCTAGAATTGGAAGCAGCCATGCAATAGCTGTGAGATCCAAAATATCCATTCCATGCGCTTTGCTATGCCTTGTAGCAAACTGATAGCTGTATTTTTCATTTTTTCATTTTTATGCCTGTGGCATGCAGTAGAAGCAATCGAATTTATGGCTTGAGTTCAGTATAATTCCCACATCATTGTACAGAAAAGAAGACAAATCTGCCAGCCAGCAGTCCCCAGACTCACCTAGACACAAATTGTATAATTTGTGTCTCCAGATGTGTCAATTTAATTAAAAATGAATGAGCAATTCTTGCCAACCAGACATCCAAGAGGCTTTAGTCACGGGTCAATGGTGATGGATTTGACGTTCTTAGTGGAGATAATCTTATAAAACATAAGAGGTTTAAAAGAAGAAGGAGGAAAAAAAAAAAAAAAAGAGAGAAAGAAAAAAAACACCTCCCAGAAGGCTAATCATGAGTTGAAGTTATCTTAGCGGCAGTCTCAGTCAGGAGGCAGTAAAATACCTGTGTTATCTAGATACTCCTGTAATGCAGTATGATTTGTGTGGTTTTTTTCAAAGCTAATGGTGCAATTCCGCTAATGAGGTTTTGTTTTGTTTTGTTAGGTTTCTGCAACACATTTTGTGCTTGAATATTACTTAATTTTGTTTGGAAGAAGATGATCAGTAAAAAAATGGAACACGAACATTTTAGGAAGAGACAAGAAATTCAAGTTTCTGCACAGTCCAAGGGATTCTTGTAAGCACTATTGCAGAGCAGGGAAGTTAAGACATGCCTTAAGATTCTTAACGTGCATTTATGCAGCACTGAATTATATATATACTGCTACCAAAGGGCCAAATCCTGAAGTGCCCTGCTTGGATGCACAAGGTCCAGAGTGGGAACTATGCATTTCTGTTATGCTGCGGTGGTGGGGGTAGATCTGCAAGGACTCCTACCTCCTCACAGGCAAACTTTACACCTTAGGCACTGCAGAAGCCACTTCCATAGCAGGTTCTGCAGAGAACAGAAAGAAAGAAGAAAAAAATAAAAATAAAGAAGAGGGGGAGGGATTGGATTGTGGGGATTGACATAGAGTGTGGCTGATGAGTCTAAAGTGCAACTGTCCATAGCACAAACACCAGGTTTTATTGAAAGGAAGGGACTGGGTGATAATGGTTGTAGCTCTCCAAGTATGTCAGGACTGAGGATTCCTTCCACTGGCTGTGCTATGGAACAAGGCAATGCCAACAAAGCAAAAGCCTTTTACTTGGTGTTGCTTTTTTGCTATAGAATTGAGCCCCCTCATCTTTTTAACTTGATTTATTTAACCATATCAAGAGCATAGCTCAAAGTGAACTGTCTTTTAGCTGCAAGTACATGGATTATTACTTTTCAACAATTGCCTCTCAGCACACAAAGAAAAGCCAATCCAAGAAGAAATGAACGAACTGTTACATTTTCTGTTAATGTCCACAGTGTTCCCTATGAGGCAGTAAGAAAACGGCAAAGTACCCCTGAGAAAAGGGTTAGTGCAGTTGTGTGTTGTTAGCAAATGGAACTGGAAGAGTACTGCTTTTTATATGGGACTCTTGATGGTTTATAAATACTGTTTTATACTTTTGTTTTATCTTTTTAATGAAGGCACAAGTTTTTATTGGTTCTAAAGTACCATTTAAACAAATTTCAAGTAGTTATGAGAAAATTAGCATTAGCACTTGTGTTACCACACCAAAACTTTGTGTGCTTTAGTCTGCCACTTCCAAGTCTATTTTAAGCGATACTGAACTGCTAAAGATGAGTGCTTTGTGTAATGATGTACCCTGTTCACAAACGGCAAAATGTCTTTCCTGTGTGAGGAATAAAGTCCATCGTAAGCTCAAGACCAACAGCAAAGGACATGATCTTGTTCATTTTCTCTTGCTCCTCTGTAGAGAAGACAGCTACTTACTTCATCTTTGTGTGTTATTGGTGTTTTGCACCTGACAAACGTGAAAAATAGTTGTACTGTCTGAAGCTTTTCTGATGTTCAGCCGATGCTGATTACAGATAGATGTAAACTGTTTTGATACAAACTGAAGGTGGTAGCTGGAGTGATGATGTGGACAAAGGAAACCTGTTTGGTTTCTCTGCCAGACTGGTTGCTACTTAAGTCCAGTATGTTCATGATGGAAATACAAGGGTATCAACCATACTGTAAGGCTTAAACAAATGTTTTCTTCGTCTTTGGAAAGTATAAATTTTCTTAAATGTTACTCTTCTGGAACAAGAACTCTTCAAGAATCTATGGGCATGTTTTGGTCACTGTGGAGTATTGTTGACACAGAAGTAATGGTCCAAACTTGGCATGTTATGTTTAGATGTTGCAAAATGTGTCTTCAAACTTTGTATGATAAATTTTGCATTTGCTAATTTTCAAACTCAAAAAACGTTTGCTATGCATTAATCTGGAAGATTTAGCTATTTTTTTCCTCAAATGTCAAGTGCAAAGTGCTCATCTGAATATCAGCTTTCAGCAATACTGACATGTTGAGCTCACAAAGAGAGAATGCATCAGCAGAATTTCTTGGGAAGAGAACAGAGACGAAAGACAGTGAGCTCAAATTGCTCGCTCTAAATACCAAAATGTGCAGCCCCGAACACTGGTGGAATTGTAATTGAGGGCCCTGGATATAATCTCTTCTACTGGATCAGTGTATTACAGCAGAGATAAATACATGCATAGTCATTCCCTAGCAGAATTAGAAGCAAAATCTCTCTGATGTGGTAAACCTCACAGATCCAGCAGTATAGCCTCTGTCCTCTTCCAGCCCCCCAAAGTGCTCCATATGTATTCATATGAATGCATGTATACTCTAGGCTAACATCTATATAACTTGTTTGATTTCTTCAGCCAGGGTAGTTAATCTACAGGGAAAAAAAAATGCAGGTAAGCAGGCTGGGCTAAATCCATGTGTGTTCTGTAGCAAATTGGTTCATATTTTGGTGGCGTTTCTTCAAGAGCTGATGGTTCTGACATCTTGATGCGAATACAAAATACATTTTGTCCCAGATTTCTCTCACGTTTCCAATGGCAAAAGTAGGACAGCGATGTGCTTGGGATACTCTGGAGGCCGGACTTACTGTTGGTGGAAAAGCAGATGTTACTGAGAAGTCACTTGAAAAACATAAAATGTAGTAAAATGGTTCAAATGTGATCTTTCCAAATGCACACCCTTCCCTCCCCCCTCATTTTTTTTAATACCAAATTATATTGGTGAACTGTTTTTAGGGTTCCCCAGTGAGGGGGATGGTGAACACCAGGTTTTCCTTGCAAGCACTGGCCAGGGAGGAGGCAATGCTAAGGTAAGACAGTGGCTTCACTTGTGTCTTTGAGTTCCTGTCCTGCCAGCTCCCTAGCCACAAGCAAGGGCTCTCAGTGCTGTATCTGAGCAGCACAGAATGCTGACAGGCGAAAAGAAGGAGCAAGCCAGGAACTAAAACCAACTTTGGTGTAAAGAACAAAAAGCTGCTGGGCTGCTGAGTTGCCAGCAGACACGCGTGTCGCTGCTAGCAGAGGAAGGGGTCTGTAGGAGCTCACCACAAAATGGGGCTTTTTGGCTCACATCCATGCACTGAGCTGCTGCACACTTCCAGGAGAGGAGGTGGGAAGGGAAGATGGATCCTAAGAACAAAAACGGTTGTAGGGTGCTGGGTTGTGTTGTACATGCTGGTTCTATGCTACATGTCAGCAAGTCCTAGAAATAACTTACGTTCATCGCTAAAAATAACAGCACTTAAGCTTTCAGGTCCCTCAAAATAATTTTAGAAACCTCAGCTATTATTTTTTTCCCCAGACAATTGGTTTATTTACAGACTGTAAAGATGCACATAATTGCTGTTCCTACCAAAGGCATATGATGGGAAGAGGGCAGGACCATGTATCGGTTTCTCTAATAACTGACAAGTTAGATGTACCATAAATGTTTGATTGAAAACTTCCACTTCCAAACTTCAAATATTCAGAGGCTTATTTTAGAAGGACTCCTGACATTTCTATTTTTAGTGATTTGAGTAGAAATCGTGGTAACGTTTTTGTTAAACCTACCCTTTGAACATGTAATGCAGAAGTACCAAGCTTCTTTTGGTATGCTATCTAGAAACCAGGCGTGTTTTCTAGAGTGTTAAATGCCTACATTTTTCAGGTAGTTTCTTCCCTCATTTGATCTTGTTGCTTTTCTATCTTTCTAAATAATTTTGGAGAGTTTTGGAAGTTTTCATTAAGTTCAGTGCTATTCAGTATCCGCTCATGCTGTAGTTTGAAGTTCGTCCAGTTGTAGCTCACCAGAGCCCCATGAGGAGGAAAAAAAAAAAAGGCAGGATTTGTAGCAGGATTAATGTCTGTGGCAGATGTACCAAGAGAAGCATCGACTCTAACAAAACAGATCTGCCTAGATCTGGAGCACTGACTGATCATATTTATTAAAAAAAATAAATAAATAAATCCTTTGAGCTTCATGGTATGTGTTCTTTGAGGATGCTGGCTAAAGTCATGTGTAATTGAGGGATTCAGGTATATATTTAAAGAGGTTCCAAGGAGCTACTTTAAGTGTAAATGCAGATCAAGAATACATTTTTCATAGTACATCAAACAAATTAAATGAAATAGCTGGGTATGCAACATAAGAGGATCTTCTCTCCCTAAATGGCACCAAAGAGAGCAGCTGCATATAATGTTATTATAATACTGAACACATTTACTACACTCATTTCTATCAATTTATTTTGTATATATAGACAGTTTTTATACGCATTTTTCTTAATTACATAACTGTCACAAAATGTAATGAAACTGCAAGTTGTAGTTAGTGCTAATGCTGATTTAAACTGGTGTTTGGCTGTTTTGTTTTGCAGCAATTACTTGAACCTTGTTTCCATTACATTGCTAAGTCTGATGTTTACAAAACTGCTTTTGTTGGTTTTTTGGGAGTATCCCCACCTTTCCTTCCCCTTGCCCTGCCACAAGAAATAGAGAGCACATGCTTAGCAGTCAAGCACATGCGTTGGGGATGAAGTATCCACTTTTATTGGCACCAAAGTGTTAATGGTGACATGCGGATTCCCTTCTGTTTACATTATTTAGCTGACAAATTAAATGCTTAGCGTGTTTCTCTCTCATTTCTCCTGTCCCCTAACCTGTTGCTGTCAGCTTTGTTGTGAGAAACTTAAATCTTTCTGAACTGCAAGTATTTAAGACCATAAAAGACATCACAGAAAGAAAGAAGCACTAGTCCTGTTGTTGTTAAAGCGTTCAGCCTGTCCCCTCACCCTCTTTTTAAACTTACCTGAATTAAACACCCCTGGGTTCTCACTGCACTTCCTTTTGTATTTGCCAGCAAGGGTTATCAACAGTTGCACTAATGACAATGTCCTCGCTGTTCTACTTCCACAGGTATTTTTAATTGTGCTGCCTAAACCTGTAATGAATTGTATTTAAGTTTCAGGTTAAATGTAAGATACATGTAATGACACAGTTATTATATTTTTTTGTATGTTGCAGATAGGACTAGTCCTATGCACAGAGAAAACAAACATGTTGCCATTTATAGTTTAATACTTGAAGTAACTTTTTAAAATGGGCTTTTATAATGAATTACATACAAAATCACATTACTTTGCCTGGAAGTTCCTTCATCTTTTAATTGCATTGTGCAATTTGCCCATATGTATATTTTTCCATATGTTATCTCAAGCCGTTTATAACCATTAGAAAGCACATTTGAGACTTTGAACACATCAGTGTTGAACCTGTTCATCCTTCTCTGAAATGTAATTCATGTTTAAATACAAAGTTGTACTATTTTAGGCCTATTTTCAAAAGTGAAAAAATATTAATGTATTTGACACATCAGTGAATGCAACATTGACTTAATAAAACTATGTGAAATAATCTGAAAATGGCATGTGTGTATTAGATCAGCAAGAACTGCCACGTATCTGGGAACATACCTGTAACTGGTGATGGAAATGACTTTTACACTCCAGCTGCAACAACCTAAGATTACACTCACTCCTGACACACGTTCCAGGTCACTTGGTTTTGACAGGAAAAATAAAGAAAACTTAGCTTGTGGCTGATAATATTCCTTCAGGACACGAAACAGTATGTAGAAATCAGGTTGCTGATCAACAGCAGTTCATCAGAATCAGATCAGAATAGTTTTCTAAGTGAGGGTAATTAAGACTTAATCTGACAGTGCCATAATGATAATACTGCTATTTAAATTCAACAATTAGAATCATGGAATTATAGAATCATTTAGGTTGGAAAAGACCTCTAAGACCATCAAGTCCAACCACATTCTTTCCAGAAAGTTTTAAAAATGGCCCACTTTATAGTCTTCTATTAGCTGCAGCTTCATCTAGCTCTAACTTCCTAACTCTGGTTCATCTTGATCCTCACATGCCTGATGGGAGATAGTTCATTAAGTAGATTCAGTTGTGTCTCAAGTATGGTATTATACAGAAGTTGCCCTTCAGAAGGGAGAGAGACCAGTAGCAGCCATCTGGTCTGTACAAGCAAATAATCCTTTGACACAGCCTGTGTGTTCTAGCTTTCAAAAAAGTGAGGCTACAGAGATAGTTTAAGTCACTGCTCCAGTTGGTAACTTGCTGTTTTTTGCAAAAGCCCTGAAGCCACAGAACGGACTATATTCTTCTACAAAGAACAATAAGAAAACAAAATACTGTTCTGTATGATTACTTTTAATGTAAGATTTTTGTACACCATACCAAATTGTCACTTATCTGCCCATATTACACTGTATTACAAAGTTACCGTAACAGGTACAACAGCATATTTCGTGGCAGTGCACAACAGCTGCCACATACAAGTCCAGCCTGTTATTCAAGATGTCCATTTCTTTGAGACATTCAAGTGGTTCAAGTGATCGCTCATATATCTATGCTCGGGGAACTTAGATGTCAAGGAGCTTTTGAGAGCTTCCCATTTTGCACGTCTCCCTTCTTTGTTATGATTGTATTCTTGTTCCTGTGTCAGGTAAGGTCGACTCAGCCAGTACTCGTTCTCTGCTTCAGTTTCCAACCTTCGGATCATTGCCTGCTTCATTGAAAGGGTGACCACTCTTGGTTGCCTGTATTTTCCAATCCATTGTTTTCCAGGAATTCTCTTCCGGAGCAATACTGTTGTTAAAAACATGGTACCTTGAAATACAAACAACAAACATGAAACGCCCATTACCTTAGGGACAAAAATAAAGTTAACAAGAAAAATGACAAACATACATGTATTTATTACACTGCCTTTTAGCTAGATGTTAAAAAAAAAAATTACAATTCAGATCCCTGTACATGCAAACAGCCACTACGTACAGTAGACAGTACAATGACAGATATGCTGGAAACAAGATCAGAAAAGGAAAAGTGATTTTTTTTTATTATTTAACGGGAGAGTTTATTCAGTTATCCTTAAGGAATACAGGTACTATTAGGATGTTAAATCTTTGATATTTAACATAATTTCCTCTGTAAATTATTCCTGAAAAACAAACAAACACCACAGCCAAATACTGTTAAAGAAAGGATTAAAGAAAGGATTGACTTCATCCCTTAACGCCACAAGCAGATATCTGCACTGTTAAAATAGCGAATGTCCAGGTCCATCTTCCGGATCTCCCTTTTTATCACGTAATACGTTCGTTATGCCGTACGTTCCTCAGCATTATCACATGGCCTCTCCATAAACTTACTAAGACAATACCCTTGTTTTGGAGCTGGGGAAAACCAACTCTGCAGATAAAGCCAAAGCCCTGCGTTACACCAACCAGCAGAAACACAGCGCGCAAACACCGCTTCAGACCTCACCCCCGGGGTGGGACAGAGGCAGAAAAGCCCAAGCCAAGCCCAGCCGCGACACGCACGCTCCTCGTTAGCCCTGGCTGTGCCCAACCCCGCCGTGTGGTCACCCCGGGCCGCCTGAGGAGAGCCCCGGCCCCGCTCCCCGCTCCCCGCTCACCCCTCGGGCACGGCCCCGGCCCCGGCCCCGGCCCGGCGGCCCCCACAAGATGGCGGCGCTGCGGGGCGCGGCTCGCGAGAGCTGGCGGCGGCCGGGCGGGGCCTGGCGGCGCCAATGGCGCGCGCGGGCGGGGGTTTGAAGGCAGCGGCCGGTAACGGCTGGAACGGGTCAGCGGCCATGGCGCCCCCCGGCTCCTCTCAGCGAAACACGAGCGTGTCCGGGGAGTTCTTCGGCAAGCTGCGCGCCCTGGCGCTCACGCTGGAGAGGGAGGCGAGGCAGCTGGAGCGGGCTCTGCGCCGGGAGGATGAGGATGAGGGTGAGTGCGTGAGGCGGGATGAGAGCGGCGCAGGGCAATGGGGGCTGCGGTCAGTGCCTGGCGCTTCGTCCCCGCCGCTCCCTCAGGGTCCCTCTCTGCCCCTGCTCCCCGTGGGGTCCCTCCCATGGACGCCGTCCTTCCCGAACTGAGCCTGCGGGGGCTGCCCACAGGCTGCAGCTCTTCAGGAACTGCTCCCACACGGCTCCGTCCCACGGGGTCCATCCCCCAGGAGCAAACTGCTCCAGCACGGGTCCCCCACGGGTGGGCGGCAGCTCCCCCCAGACCCCCTGCTCCTGCGTGGGCTCCTCTCCACGGGCTGCAGCTCCGGCCCGGGGCCTGCTCCTGCGGGGGCTCTCCATGGGCCGCAGCCTCCTCCAGGCCACATCCACCTGCTCCAGCGGGGGCTCCTCCACCCATGGGGGGCTGCAGCGTGGAGATCTGCTCCATGGGGGACCCATGGGCTGCAGGGGGACAGCAATCACACACACACGGCTGTCTGACGTTGCCCAGGCACTGATGGCTGACCAGCTTCTGCCCGCTAGGGACGCACAGGTGCTCTCGTGCCCCTCAGGGACCCACTCACCCCTCTGCTGACCTCAGTCCCTTACCGGCTGGTCCAGCCCGAGCTTCATCACAGGCACTCACCCCAGGAGCTGCACCATGGACACCCTGGCACTCCCACCTGTGGTCTCACCCAGCTGCTGTTCTCACGCCCATATACGCACACAGCATAGAGAGCCCTCACCCAGCAAAGACATTAGAAAGGAACTTAATAAGAACACAGAATTGACTTTGCAACCAGGGGCAGGGCACAACTAGATGAGAGTACCAACCACCTAACCATTTACAAGCGACAAGCCCTTTTTATCCTCTTACCCGCCTATTTTCCCATTCTTATTCCTCCCCAGATCACCACTCCCTTCTCACTCCTCTCCCCAGCTGTTGTTGTATAGTTGTTTTTTTCCATTCTTAAATCTGCGCTCCCAGGGGCACAAACAACACTGCATATTGGCTTAGCTCTGCCCCCCCCCTTCCCTACCATCATCTCTGAGCACTTTTGTGGGTGTGCAGGTGAGCTTTTATTACACAACATACATAAATCAAATTTGAGTCTGTATGATAAAACAGGAATCACGTTCTTGCTTTTACCCTTTTAATAGCTCAAGACAGGAAAACACATTTTCAGGGCTTGTTCTCTGTCTGAACAAATAGTTCAAGGCTCTAATTAAATTTATCACTCTGCTATGTCTTGTCACACAGCAGGTGTCCTCTTCTGCACTATTTATTTGCGTTAATCTTAATTTCCAGTGAAAGAAGTAATATCAGCTTTTGACTGCTGCCTACTTAAGTGTATACTAAGACCTGTCTGCATATAAATAAGGCAGAAGAAAGCAGCTTTTTGTTTGTCTATTTGTTAGTGGTATCCAGATTATTTTATAATTATTATTTCAAAATCAAGCTCTGTAAGGATGAAAATTTAGCAAAATAATGCTTTGCTCTCCACGGACCTACCTACTGCAGTGATGTCTGCTACAGGTAATTTTTTACAATATTAGCTGCGACTCTAAAATAGAAGCCTGTGCGGTTTCTCTGTGTAATTCAACGTACTGTGCAAACTGCAGTCTCGTGCAGTGCAAGGTAGTCAGTTATAAACACGGTATGAACTGTTTTATCTTCATTTTCTGTCTCGATTCTTTCTCTAAGATAGGTCTCTAACGTAGATTACATTCTGATGTACAATGTACTCATGCTAAAAAAATACTAACCCTGCTTTTTTCATTTCAAAACCCTTTTATGTGAACATGTATATCAAAGACTACGAAGAAGAATCTCCAATAAGAGTCTTGCAGGACCTGCACGGAGAAATCAGGACTCTGAAGGTAATGACTTAACTCACTGCCTTCTTGAAAAAACATGGGGAGGTGTCCATAAACTGATGACTCATTTTGATCCTTAAGCCACAATGCAACTCTTATTCAGCAATGACCCTTATTTTTATTCGTTTACCTCTAAGTCCTCATAATGGCTGTGGAAATACAAGGCAGCATCCAAGAATTATGTGTGATTTAGAGCCCAGTTCATGAGTTTGCAGTTGCTGTCATCAGTTGGGTCAGCAGGGGGCAAAGTGAATGGAGAAGCTGTAGCTAGCCACACCAGGGCATAGCTATGGGGGTTCAGGAGCTCCCTTGGGAAGAGGCATACCTGTTTTTGTTCAATGGCTAGCATTTGGAATAAACGAAGTCTTCCCAGGACAGTCTGCACTTTCAGCTGTTCAGTTAAACTTGTGGAGAATGTTCTTCGTTTATTTAATAGAAGTAGAAAAATAGGCTTTAGAAACGGACATGTGTGCAAGTAACTGGGAGGTAAGTTACGCTGTAAACTCTGTTTACCAGCTGTTTTGCCCTACATCCTTTGTGTGTGGAAGTTAATGTCCGAAACTGATTGTTATGTAATTTTACTCCTATTTTTAATGGAGTACAAACACGTTTCTGTTTGATGGGTTACTGGGAAGTAATTGTTATACCGTGAACTGTCACCTTAATTTAATATTTGTATGTTTTTTTACACTTAATGCTCTGTATATTCCTGATGTTTTCTAGCCTAGTTTTTGGGTATAAGAAAGACCTAAACATGTTGCTTATCCTCATCTGAATTGAAGTTCACTAATTGTTCCCAAAATGCTTAATGTGTTTAAAAAAAAAAAAAAAAAAAAAAGTGGTGATTTGAAAAATAATATTGTTACATTTCTCCTTTCCTCCTCCACTAAAGGAAGATATTAATGCCAGTCTTGGCAAGAGTCGTTCTGAAAGGCAAGAAATTAATGACTTTATGAAGGCAAGTGAAATATTGATGCAAAGAAATGCAGCAGATCTGGGAATAATAAGAGAGCTGTTCCAGAAATATGGCTACAAACCACGTGTCAAAGTCTCTACAGGTAATATTTTCTGCAATAAAATGTGTGAACACAAATGTAACTTTCTTAAAAGGTTTCTCGTTTCCTAAGGGTATGTTTTTGTTAATTAAGAGGTCAAGTATATCTGTTATTTGCTTTACAATACCCTGAAGGTAAAAGGTTCTGTTGTGATTGGTGCCCAAAGAATAAATTAAACTCCAAAAGCTCACAGTCTGCTCTCCTGACCTGCTTTTAAGTTAGCATTTCTCTTCATTAATAGCTATACTGAGAAAATGTGTTAGCAAACATACTCTCATAACCTGGAGAGCTCTGCTGCTTCAGCTTCTCATGCTTGAGAAACTGCTGTAGATGCATCTAAATTAGTTCATATTCATATGTGGTTACTTCATTAGCTTAAATCACCGTAGAGAAAAATCTTAAATTAATGCACTGCGTAGCACAAGTGGGATGAGAGAAGCACATACAGGGTTTAGGTGATACATAATAGTCTATGAAGCAGTAGTAGTTTGATCACTGGATTGAAGATGCTTCATCCAGTCAGAAACTGCATGCACACCTGTGTGAAAAATCCAGCTGTACAAAATGAGTTTAAAATAATAGCACGGTGTGTACCACACACATTCCTTTCTGCATCAAGGACCCAATCAGTCTTCCAGATGCCTTTGGCAAGGTGCACCTGAACCTTCTCCTGAGTGTTATCCAGTAACTACAAAAAACACCATTGTGGTCGTGGACCATATTCACCCAGAGCTAAACTATTAAGCATTTTACAAAGCTACTGCAAAAGGTTCTAATTTTATAGCGGCTTACTTCCCTTTCTCTCTATGCCTTTACTGAGGGCTTCAAATACAGCTACAAGGTTAATTTATTTTAAGACGCATCTTTTAACTAAGTGTATTTGCACATGTAATCCCAGTACACATGCAGAGGTAATACTTCTGCCATATTATTTTAAATATTTTCCCCTGCTTCTTATGGCATGCAGAAACTCACAAATCCTTCGGGGCGTTTCGGGTTATAGAGCTACAGAAACATACAAGTTACAGCTTTGTTTGTTTCTGCAGTGGACTCTTCTTGTTACCTAAAAAAATAATCTTTTGTGAGTTTTTAGTTACTGCTTAGTAACCTTTCTTCTGCGCGTTTTGTCTAAATAATGGCCAAAATCTGTTTTCATTGCCATTTGTTGTACGTTTTTTAATGAATGTCTGCTCTTGCAATAAATAATAAATAAGTAATATAAATAGCATGAAGCAAAACCAAATTAATGTATTCAAGATTAATACTTTGTGTCTGTTCCATGCAGAGATAAATTCTATTAAAAATATGTTTGTGTAAGAAGCTTTTAGTTTCATTTACTCCTAGAAATAATATTTAACAATAGATAATTCAATAAGTGTGTGACCTGTGTTTATAAATATAGCTTAGCCTGACTTGATATCTGTTTTACCTTCAGGTTTCAGTGTTTTAAAATGAAAGAAGGAACCTTTTTTTATTTTTTTTTAAAGGCTATTAGAGGAGGGGTGAGGATTCCTAACTTACT